GTTTGTGTGAAATGCTCAATGAACTACATCTCTGGTCTCGCAGAACAACATACGTCACCAAGATGGCCGTCACTACTGTCTTGTCAGCAAAACGATTGACTACCCTCACTATCACCACAATGAAACACGTCCAGAAGAATGTCATTCAAAGCTGCCTGCCTGCCTCCCTTTGATTCTCTCTGAACTGCCTGGTCTTTTTAATGTTTAATGTCAACAATTTATGCAGATAGCGTGAAGTAGAAAAGATGGCAGATGCTAATGTAGCGTTAGCATTTCTACCCCGGGCTTAAGTTGTGTATTATAGAATGATCACACCGGTGTGACAGTACTCTTCAAAGGGTTCACGAAATATGACTACTACTCTTACTGTTTAACATGTTGGGTTACTTGATGTTACTTCATTTTAAGGCTAATAAAAATGACAAGGCTGTAATGCTAACTAACGCGCTAGCTACTAGCTAGGTAGCTAACTTGATCCAGCCACTCCTGGTCCTTTGGCTGGTATGATAACAACCTGGTACTAAGCACACAGGCATCTTGTTAAAGTTATCTTATATGGCGCTGATCTTAGCTATCTCTTAGTGGAGGAAATCAGTTATGACATCACTTAGGCGACTCTGGGATTTGTAGTCTTTCTAGTTGCGTATTTTTCATAGTCTTATATTTCAAAAGTATAACGACAAACTGTGACTTTTTTGACATGGAAATTATTTTTTAAGATTGACAAACATCATATGTGTAATTCATGGCACAATTCAAACGGGATCGAAAGAAAAGTTTTCTCTCTTCATTTACTTGAATGCATAATTTTTCCGAAATAAGGTCCCATGGACCGGAAGTAGATGGGCGTGACTTCGCCACTCTCTAGAGTGGTGCAGTAATGAGTCCTAAAACCCGGAACTGATTTAGCATTTTTGCACTTACGATTTGTGGTTAGAAGCCAGAAATTAAGTCTTTGGTTAACACAAGCTGAAGAGATTTTCAAGTTTACGAAATATTAAACATGAGGAAATGCTTCACTCATGATATCTGAAGCTTCTATGTCATAAAAACAGCCTTTACCAACAAGTGACTAAATAAACTACTAAATGTCATCATACTGACACGAGTCTACCTTTAGCTTAGTGGTGGTGCAACCTTGATTTAGTTGGTTTATAGCGTTATGCTTTTAATTTATGCAGAATGAGTTAACGCTTCAAAAAAGCAGGGAGATTATCCTGCTGAACAAAAGCTTATTTTCTGCAATATACCGAGCCCTTGTGATACTACCCTCCGGGTCTGACTTCAAAATACATAATCACTGCACCACTGTATAAAGCAGCATGTATAATTACCCTAATGTGTGCCTTAAATGAGTATTGTCAAAGCAGGTTCCATGGAAAAGGTCCAAAGGAACAATGAAAATAAAATACAAATGTATTTTATAAAGCTTTATGTCTGCCTGGGGAAAGGCATCTCCTCTTGTTTTATTAACCTCATGTTCACTTTCGTTACCTTCAGGACAGAAAACCCAAGAGCAGGCTGAGGAGAATGTGTGGGAGAGAAACTCCCTCTGGAGGGAACACAGTAGGCTCATCTCAATTGAATATTTCACCTCCTCCTTTCCCTCACTCACGTCCCTTCCTTGCGTCTTAGCCCCGCCTCCGTAAGATGCGAGCGAGAGACTCGAGGACAGAGGAGTCCTCAGGTATTAATTGGGATGTCCTTGTTCACTCAAACGTCACTTTTAAACGACGTCTGTTAATGATGACATGTGCTCAGCTGTATCATCTCTTGTCGGGCTTAACTGGATAAGCCCTTAAAACCGGCCCATTTGTTGTTAAATATTTATTTAAATGAATGAATCTTTCTTCTTTATAAGTCAAGGAATTCAATGTATGATGGTTGGTCCTGCTTTTGTGTTCCGTTTTGGTGTAAAATGTACATTTAAATACAAATATAATTATATGTGAAAGCCTTTACTCTGAAAATGCTGTAGATCCCCACATTCACCACAAACCCACATTCAGGACTGTGAATTTTAAATAATTTAACTATTATATTTTAACACAACTATAAAATAATTGTTATTTATCAAGATCACGCCATTTATGAAATGGCTTTCTTAATAGCTATGTTTTAGTGACCTTCAAGATCATTAAACATGACTTAAATTGTTAGTATAACCTTAAGTAATTAATTGTACATAATAATTCCCACGGAGCTGTGAGCACTTAGATTTATGTGACACTTTTCCACTCATTCTTCCAGTTCTCCGTTTTCCTGTGTTGAAATCGACCAGCTGTGAATGTGGGGGTGGGGCTTTTATACGCAAGTAGTGAAAACAATTCCGCGTCGTCTGCTCTCGTGTATCCTCCCTTTCGTATGAGTTGGAGACTGCAGTTTCAGGACCGCAGTCCTGGGACCGCACTCCTAGGACCCTAGTTTTGCAACATCGCCACCTAGCGAATTGGATGCCCGCAAAAGCACAACCAGCAAGTACTTTGCCATACTTAGTGCCCAGCACTTAGTGCTAGCACTTAGTACCCCCATGGAACTAAGTACAGATCGCGTTCACACCGGAATAAGTTCCCTGAGGGAAGATTACGCAAATGAAGCCGCTGACGTCACTTCTTCTTCTTCTGCTTTGGGTTTACTGGCAGGGCGCAAGCCACTTCACGGCGTATACTGCTACCTGAAGTTCCCGGCCAGAAGTCCCCGGAGTTGGGGACTGGCTTCAGTAGAAGCTGCTGGGACTCCCAGCTTGTTTTTGCTCCCACTTTTCATGAGATGAACTCAAAGATCTAAAACATTTTCTATATACACAAAATAACCATTTCTCTCAAATATTGTTCACAAATCTGAAAAAATCTGTGATAGGCTGGCCACAATAAAAGGCCACTCTGAAACGTGCAGTTTTGCTTCA